AAGTTAAAAAGAGATTACAAACCTCGTCTTAATGGACTATCAGACTTAGGGGGGCTTACAAACTGCACCTTAAAGGACTGTCTAACTTAGAGGGAGCTTACAAAACTCAAACTCTAATGTTAGACCATATTAATTAAATCACTAAACATTGCTCTTAAATATATTTGTTTGTCATCATCAAAAATGGGGAGATTGTTAGAACAAGATTTGCTCACTCCCTTAAAAGGTTTTTATGATAACAAAGTATTTAAAGAACAATAGGGTTTCCTAATGGTTATTCAAGCATGCAGGACCAAACGACATTAACCTTGATATGAATCAAGTTAACCACTCAGAAGAACCATTAAAGAGAACAAAGTTGTTCTGAATCTGAAGGATCAGAACCAAGATTTTAGACTCTGAAGAGTCTGACTTAAGTCTTTCAGATGTTGAACCTAGGCTTAACTAGAAATACAAAGATCAGCTCAGCTCTGAAACTAGAACCATTTGAAGCAAGCCGACTCTATTATAAGGAATGACTATGCATCTTCTGAACAAGTTGCATCGGCAATTATGAAGACATTGCTTCAAAGGAATTTGTCTACATCAAGTTTACAACTCTGGAAGTGATTATCCAGACTAGTTCTAATCAAGACTCTAATGAAGGAAAAACTCAGAACCCGTAAACTCAAAACTCTGAAGTCTCATTCCAACCAGGTTCTGAATACTTACTTTAGCTTTTGATCATTCTTTAACTAATTCTATAAAATCATATGAATTAGAAATCATAGTATAAGGATAACAATGACTCTAAGAAAGCTACAACAAACATCTACAAGAAGACTCTAGTCAGAAGTTATCTAAGGAAGATCACATGATAATGATACACTACTTTATGTCAAATATGGTGATAGTGACGTTGCCAGATCTTCTTTCTCCAACACCAACAGTTCAAAACTCTGCTATGCTGCTCTCAACGTCTTTATGCTAGTTGAGCTTTTAGCTCACTCTATTGTTCATCACCTAAAGCCTTCAACAACTATTTGTACCATGTTAGCTTCAACAACTATTTGTACCATGTTAGTTTCAATCTTCAACGAATATATTCTTAGTATCTATTTAAGGATGAAGATTGAAAACATTCAATATTGTTAGAATACGAAAGTTCTTGGAAAATATCTATGAGCTGAACCTTTACCTCTCAAGGAGATGAATGTGTGTTGAAGATTTTGTGAATGTGTTCACATGGATGTGATAGCAATTCACTGAAATAAGTTAAGAGAATCTGTGTTTGACAAAAAACATAGATGAGAAACACACTTCAAAAGATTACATAACTAGAAGGGTTAAGTGTGTTAGAGTAGAGTGAAACATGCTCACATACATTCTTAAGATAGAATATGTGAATATGTTCATCGGAACAAGAAGGTACAACAAGATGAAAATTTGCGCAAGGAGAGAAGAAGAATGAAAACTTCATACTTCTACACTCTTGAGAAATTAACTCAAATCTGCTCAAGAGTCTAAACCTTTATGTATCTGCTTATCCAAATAGCACTTATATGGACACAAGGTTAATACCATATTCCTCTGTTATAAGAATCTGAAGACTCTTGCCTTTGTGCTCATAGTAAAGTCTATTTCTGATGATTGAGCAAAAGCCTTGAACTGGATGTTTAGGCATTAAAGTATCATGTTTGCGGGCAAAGCAAGGAAATCGCATGCTTGGGGTCTTAAGCAGGAAGTCATGAATGGGTAGTTCAGACAAGGAAGTCTCAATATGGGTGATTGAGCAGGAAGTCTTAAACGGGGAGTTTAAGCAAGGAAGTTTCATGCTTGAGGGCTTGAGCAGAAGTCTCTTTCCGTGGGATTGAGCAAGAACTCTTGAGTTGTTGGCTTAAGCAATTTTAATCAGTTTAATTATAGTTAAAGCTCTTGTACTGCAAGGGGGACTGGACTACTCTAAATTGAGAGGAACCAGGATATATTGTGCGTCTTTTTATTTTCTTCTGCATTTATATTTCATTGTGCAAACATACTCTGAATTGATTTAGTCTCTTACCAGCATCGGAATTTGAGCTTGACACCCCATCTTCTGAAGCATAGTTAAGAAAAAGGATGTAAAGTTTTCACTATTGTCTTCACTCTGACATCAGACTCTCAACGTGGTTTAAAATCTGATGGTTTATAAACAGTAGATGAAAACAATTTTGATATTTTGACATCCATAATTCAACCCCCTTCTTGTGTATTTTTCTCACCTTCAACCTTCTTCATAACCAAGTCCCTAGTATAGATACTTCAAGCATTCCCTTATCATAACTTCCTTGGCAAAAAGAGCATCCAGTTTGATGTTGTAGGAATGAGCTGCAAAATGGAAATGAGGCTAGGGCCATAACTTCACAAACTTACTTTAATAACAAAGAGGGGACTCAGCTGGGCTAGAGCAAGAAACAAGATAAGCCACCGGAGTACTGGACCCCATGAGCATGAAACACCTCAGGAAATCGCTCTGGTCGTTAGTGAATAGGTTGAGCCAAGAAGGTTCTGACTAAGATCGATAAGCCCCCGATCTCGAATATAATTCTAGAAGGTGGGCACAATGTATAACAAGTTGAAGAACAACCATGAGAAGATTTTCAAGACCTATACTCGGCCTAAAATTAGAACACCTTCATGATAGCCCAGGAGTTCGGCTGAATCCGAGAGGGGACAACTTGTAAGTATTTAAGAACATTCACTTCAAATTCGACAAAGGCAACTGCACACCTATCCAGGTGTATAGACAATAATAAAACTAAACTAAACACACGTCAAAAGGGCTCGATATATTCCAATACCGGCTGACTATAGGGTCTTATTACAGTCGACCCGGTCCCTAGTATCGAAGGTGTTGGTACAGGCCTTACCGGGAGCCCTACTTGCTCCCCAGTCGATGGTATTGAAGACGACGCTCCGTCGTTTCTTGTTTCTTCACTAGAGCCATTTTGTTGGCCATTTAGCTGAACGGATTTCGTCGCCATATTCCTAGTGTTACGTCTTACTAAACTTTCTTCGTTTACAGTGGTTATTCTGCCACTTCTTAGTAACATACAATGTATTTTGAAGACAAGTTGATAAGGCTTATATTTCTAAAGTTTTATGATCTCAAAACTTTCTTTGTTTAGCACTGTCCCACTGGGCTTGTCATTTTGTTTACCATGTTTTTTGGTAAACAACCTCTGTTTACCATGTTTTTTGGTAAACAACCTCTGGTCTATCAATTTGGTGTCAAATTGACTAACTTGCAGGATTGACCATATGAAATCCTAGGACATGTGCTAAAGGGTATTTCTATTTGAACCTATCTAAAAAATGTGCTTCGATAATACCAAGAAGAAGTAATTTAAAAGGGGGCAGAACTATCCACTATGTTTAAAAGAAGGAAGGAGGAAGAATAACAAGAGGGAAAAGAGATAAAGGTTTTTTGGGAGAGAAAGACTTAGTCGAAGTAGTAATGGTGAACAAAAGGAAAGACGAAGTAAATAAGTAAAAGTACTTGACAAAAGTAAAGAAAACAAAATAACTTCATTGAAAAGATAAAGGATGGTGTGTTTACATCACGTATATTCTCTATAATACTCTCTTTCTCTATACTTGGATACTTGGAGTAATTTTTAGAGTGACTTGTACAACAGTAAATTACAACACAGTTAAGTTTATGTCTAAGACTCCTATTTATAATAATAATAGTAACTACTAATAACCTCCTTAGGCCATTTATTTCTGACAAGTGTCACACCGCATGCAATCCTTTGTCAGATGAGCGCCACTTGTCCTTCTTAGTCATAAGAAAATGTAACTACTCCCTCCAATATTTAAATTTCAAAACTTAGTTCGTTCCTACTTCCAAATTTCGGTCGAAGGCTAAGTTCCCTACTTAGGTCAAAATGTCTAGTTCCAAGACTTTAATTTTTCTAAGTCCTTGGAGGACCTGTAGATCCTTTAACAAGCTGCAATAGCCTCAAAATATGGATCGTCAAATTGGCGAGCTAACAGTATGTTAATTTTTTTTTTAGTTTAGAACAAATTATGAGTTCATTGCATATTCAGGATTCAAAATTAGTACAAATTTAGGGAAAGAGAATATTTTTATATAAAAATATGATTCAAATGTAAGAATATGAATTTAGTGGGTACACGAACTCGATTCAGGATAAATTTCTTGTTTAATTAATCCCTTCAATTTATCGAAGCAGAACTATAATTTACAAATGAGTCAAATTTAGATACGGGAACGGAAATTAATTAAGAATTTAAATATGAGAACATAAAAATTTTATGTCACATTATCATGCCTACTTATATCAAACTATATTTCATAACAACAAAAATATCCAAACGTTATATAAAATACTACACACTTAAGAGATTACATATATATATATATATATATATATATATATATATATATATATATATATATATATATATATATATATATATATATATATATATAATTTTGTGTATTTTGGTCATTTAATTAGTATTAAAATAGTTAAAAAAGTATTTTTAGTTTTTAAAATAAAATTTAAATAAAAAGAACATGTAAAAAAATAGTAAAAATTATGCTAAAATATTAAAAAGGAATAATTATGTATATAATGGAAAGAGAACCATAATTATGTATAAGGTAAATATTGTACTATCTTTGAATTTAGTTGCATATCACTACTCTCCATCAATAAAAAATTATAATTTAATATCACATCATTTTATTATTTTATTTTATTTAAAATAAATTAAAATTTGACCACATTTTAAATTAAAGGTATCCCTACCAAACTATTTATGGAATACAACAAATTTATAGGAAAGATAAAGTTCTATGGTTTCACAATTTACTATACCAACATTTAGTACTAATAAAATAAAATAAAATAATAAAAAAACACCGCACGACATAAGTACAAGAGAGTGTAGAGTTAAGAGAGTGTAGAGTTAAAAGCGGAAGCCAAGTAGAACGGAAAGTGAGAGTCATAATGGCTGAACAAAACGGAATACACAACCTGTTTCTTGAAACTGCAACAGCTATGGAAATTGAAAATGGAGATGCACCACCACAAGTACAACCTCAAGAACGAGAACCGCCCAAGTGTTTAGTTACCAAGACCGACGATGGAAGCCTAGAGAGTCATCGTTATTACCTTTCTCGCAGAACAATTCTGGAGATGCTCAAAGACAGAGGCTACTCTATTCCATCCCCCGAAATTCAGCTCTCGCTTGAAGAATTTCGTCAAGCTCATGGCCAATGTCCTGATGTCGATCGACTCCGTTTTACTGCTAGTCATGGCACTGATCCCTCTAAAAGGGTTAATATTCTCTCTTGATTTTCTCTCTCTTGATTTCTTGATTAATTGAATGTATAACACTTATTATTATTTTGTTGTTGTGTTGTATTTATTAGAATGATTTTTTGTTGGATTTTGCAGGTTTTAGTGATTTTCAGTGGGCCAGGGGTTGTGAAAGTGAATGTGATCAGGAACATTGCTGGACAGATTGTGAATAGAGACACTCTCACTGGTCTCATTTTGATTGTGCAAAATCAGATCACTAGCCAGGCTTTGAAAGCGGTTAATACTCTATCTTTCAAAGTTGAAATTTTCCAGGTTTGTTTCTCTCTCACACACACTCCTAAGGTTTTTGGTTTTGTGTGTTTGTGAAATCTATATCTATGATTGTGCATGTTGTTGTGTTTCTAAATGGTATCTGATGGCACTGATTTTTTAGTCTAACCCTAAAGTTGCATGTGCGACTTTAGGGGGAAAAAGTACAATTTTGTGTTTGTTTTAGTGTTAGGAAATGGCAATCTGTATCTTTGGATTCTTATTATCTATTACTGCTCAGAATTTAGGTAATGTAAAAAAACCTATAAATGACAAAGATACATACTATGCCTTAAACACAAATAACTCAACATTCTAATTTCAAGTAACCACAACATTAGCCTCCTACAATATCTTACTTCAAAGGAGCAAACACAAAACCTCAACTTGGCAAGGGGGAAACAACATCCAATTGATGAATCAGGAATGAATAAAAAAACCAAATTAGAGAAAAACATTGAGGGTGGCTGCTCATAGGGAACTCTCGGTGAGAATGTCTTTGCTGACGGTAAGGCACCACTGAATGGACATAACATAAATGAGTGTTGCGCTTTTGTGCGTTTTATTTCACTTCTCTCTAGACCCGTTGGTTTGTAAGTAAACTCACGAGTTTGCTTGGGTATAGTTGAGGCCATGGTTTTGAATTGCAGTCGCGGATGCGGTTGCGGTTGCAGGTGTTGTGATTGCAGTCGTTTCCGTTGTGGTTGCTCCGATGCACATTGCGGCAATTGCATTGTGAATTTTGATTGAGAAGAGTTTGAAATACACTGTTAAAAAACACTTTATGTTAAGATTTTTCATAAGTAAATTGAGTTTTGATGAAAATACGTGAAGAAACCTGAGTGAAGTTGTCTGATATGGTTACTAATGTAGAAGGATGTGTGATTTCAAATCACACTGCAATTGCGGTCTGATGCAGTTGTGTAGACTACCGCATCAGCAATATTGCGGTTGTGGACCACAATTTAAAACCATGGTTGAGTCTACCATAAACTGAATTTGCTAACTATAATTTGAAAAAGATAATGATGGAGTATAGATATTCATTTAAGGAAAAATCAGAAATGAATATGTCCAGAATACAGGTATTCAAATTTCAAACTTCTGAGGTGTAAGAGCTATTAAAAGTAACAACGAAATAAATAGGCTTAAATAGGAGGCAGCTGAAAATAAGCCAATTTTAATATCTCAATATACTGCAGAATTCAAAGATACTGATTTTTGTCTGCTTTTTGTAAATTGAATGGTAATCTTTCACATTTACTATCTCAATTTTGTCTACCTTGTACCAGATGAGTTAAAATTCTGTGCGTTCTGTTCTAATAAATAGTTAAGTAAGAAAGAGACCACCGTTCTAGAAAAGGGTTGTGTCACTCTAGAGTGTACTAAAATTGCTAATGATCCATCTTTTTGTATTCTGTCACGTTGAAACTGGAAAAGAACTTACCGAGGAAGAAAACTTTGACATACAAATGTCGATAAGATACCACAAGTTTGAGATGCTTAAAAGTTGTGACTAAAAAAACAGCATCTCATTCTGAATGACTTGGCTTTGTAATCCTGAATTTGTAGTGTTTTTATTACTGTCAATTAAGTACTCATGAGTTAATAATCCCTACAACATTCTTATTTACTTCATACTCGAAAAATATCAGTTTCATGCGCAAAATCTCATTGAATTCTTAAATTCTGTTCAGATCACAGACTTGCTTGTTAATATTACAAAGCATGTTTTGAAGCCAAAGCATCAGGTTCTGACCGATAAGCAGAAAAAAAATCTCCTGAAGAAGTACAATATACAAGAAAAGCAGGTCAGTCGATATAACTTAAGATTACGGAATTACTGAATTACTTTTAGATATTTTGTATGTAGTCTATTTTTCCACATATATGTTATAACTTGTATTTCACGAATCTTAATTTTCTGCACTGTTGATTCTATTCCAATACTACTATTCTTATAATAATTCTTGTTATTCGCAGCTTCCCCGGATGCTACAGACAGATGCAATTGCTCGATATTATGGACTTCAAAGGGGGCAGGTAGTTAAAGTTACCTACACCGGTGAAATCACCCAGATGCATGTTACCTATCGATGTGTTTGGTGATATAACATTTAGTCTCAGTTTCTCTTTCGATTTGGTGTTTGAATTCTTTGCAGAATTCAAATGTTGTATCATGCATAAGTTTATGACCGTAGAATTGTAACTTATAATCTCAGGCTATCTATCCTAATGTTTTGAACTCGCTAAGTTTGATCATGTGGATTTGTCTCTTGAACCCGTGAGGAACTAATCTGCATTGAAAAATTCTGTGCACACACTTGTGTTTTTCCTGCGAGGTGCTTGCTAATGTATCAGATTTGAACTAATGTATGTAAATCAGGAAAGCTATCAGCACATTGAAACCTTGTTCGTATCAAAAGTAGTGTGTAACTAAAGAAATATTGTCGAATTAAAGTGGAGTGAATTCAAGGTTAAAGAAATTCACGTCGACATAAGCCTATTTTTAAGCTCTCACATTTCTGTCAACCAATATCATTGATTGAAAACTATTCACGGATACTTTAAAATCTCCTTTGAATTGTATTGATGCACTCTGAATTAGTTGAAAACTACTCGATAATGGATAATCTAACATCTCCTTAGAATTGTATTGGTGTGCTCTCAGTAACATTTATCTAATTCTCTATGGGCTACAATTAATTATTGTTTAATTTGTGAAAAACAGATTAACCGTGATTTTGATGGGGTGCATATATATAAATCTTGTTATTAATTAAGTTGTATTGGTGTGAGTTTTAACCTTGAGCGCATAATGGGTAGGGACTAGGGTTATATATACTAGCGTCCAGACGGGCACTCGCGTGCCCGTCTGGACGCTTTTTAATTGCACACATATAAATATAAATGATATATTTTTATTTAATATTAATTTTACATGGAAGTTATATGGGAAGTTATTAGTAGGGAGTTATATGAAAGATGATAGTAGTAGTTCAAGGGAAGTTATTAAGTAAATTACACAATAAAATAAGGGTAAATTTGGTATAAAAAAAAGTTACACCAAAAACCAAGTATTCTCTTTATATATTACTAGCGTCCTGACGGTCACTTGCGTGTCCGTCTGTCCGCTTTTTAAATGCGCGTGAATGAAAATATAAACGATATTTTTTGTTTAAATAATTTTTTTCTAAAATACAATATGTAGAAGTTAATAAGAAGAAGTTACATGGAAATTAATAATAAGAAGTTATTAAGTAAATTAGATAATAAAGTAAGGGTAAAAATGGTAGAAAAATAAGCCACACCAAAAATTTGTATCTCATTTATATATAGTTATAGATGAATGAAAATATAAACGATATTTTTTGTTTAAATAATTTTTTTCTAAAATACAATATGTAGAAGTTAATAAGAAGAAGTTATTAAGTAAATTACATAATAAAGTAAGGGTAAAAATGGTAGAAAAATAAGCCACACCAAAAACTTGTATCCCCTTTATATATAGTTATAGATTATAGATTATATGGTTAGATTTCTCTCTAATCACAAGAATTAAAAACATAACTTACGGTTCCACAACTTGCCCCATTGAGAGTTGTGAACGGGAGTGTGAGATACGGAGAAAGATCCGTTCATTCATCTTTTCGCGATTCTGAATCATGACTTCAATAAATAAGTATTGATATTCTAATTTCATATAATTAATTATTGAATATTCCCGCTTACATTTAGTATCAGAGCTTAATTATATGAATTAGGACTCTATTATTGGTGACTAATATATAATTATGAATTAAGATTTCTAATTATTCTGATATAATCTTGAACAATTACGGTAATTAATTTTCAGTAATTACAATAGATGTATAATGTGTAATAGGATGATTAATTGAGTTCAAATAACACAGATTCAATAATGGCGCTTACATGAGCAATTCTTTTGTTACATGTGCAATTTTTTTTCCCATGTCTTAGTCTTGTTTATACTCTTGATTCAATAATTATATGATAAAGTGGAATTTTGAAATCTAATTAATGCAAATTGCTTTAAAAATACTTGGAATCAATTAAGATTGTATTGATTTGATATGTATTTGATATAATGTCAATTAAGATTGTTATATTTTTATTGATTTTGAAATAATAAACTAACAATCACACGACTTGAAGAGAGCGGTTCTATACTACATAGTGTAACATTTTTGGATTGGAGATAATTGTTTTCAAGTTCTCTAGTATTTGCAAATGAATAATTAATAAATAATTATAAATTGACTTTTGAATTGAAGAATTAATCAATGATTTTCTTCTTTCAACCTTTGACCGATCATGATTTGTTTTTACTTTTGACCGATCATGATTTGTGTCGAGGAATGTATGATAATTAATTTTGATTTAATTGTATATTTAATCGAATTTAATTGTCCTAATCCTTGTTTTTGTAATTATTGCTTCATGATATTCTTGTTTTACAATGCGTAATGTCGTAACATTAACATTTTGTATGCTATTTTCGGTTACAAAATTGAATATTGAACTGATATGCTTATGAATTTAGGAATTGAATGTCATGTTAGGGAGATTCATTCATATAATAATAATAACAATAATAATAATAATAATATGTGTTGTGAAAACATTGACTATGTGTATAAACTGTTCTTGAAGTTTATTTAGGATTGATATATTTAAATTACAATAATTTAAATTTTTCGTCTCACTTGGATTCAATTGTTAGACCATGTTTTTTTTATATACCGTTTATTTCTATTATTATTATTATTATTATTATTATTATTATTATTATTATTATTATTATTATTATTATTATTATTATTATTATTATTATTATTATTATTATTATTATTATTATTATTATGCACTAAAATTATATTGTTTCAACAACTTTTAATTAGCTTGTTTCCTAAAGCAAATTGAAGTTTTGTGGTTTTAAATTTACAAGTAAAGAAACTCATTTATGATAGATACCATAAATGTGGGAGTTGCTATGGTTGATTACGGAAGATTAGTTAAGCTAATTATAGAATTTTCTTGGGACTATTTATTGTTATTGAGTATATTGTTCGGTTGGTTAATAAAAGTAAAAATGTGGAAATAGTCAAAATATTTATTTTTAGTGAATATTGTATTCCAATGCAACTAACCATAATATACCTAGTGCCTAATGATATTATTTGTCTTTAATATGTCATTGATTAATGTATTTGTTGCTTTGATCACTTAATAATATTGAATGTTTACACTGTAATATATCAATTAAAATAGAAATTGATTTGATTATAATATAATGATTTAGCGATACAATATTTTGAGATACTTGGTAATATTCCTTTTTATTGAAGTTGACACTGTTTGAAGAAAAAATTTATTGGGAATGCTATATTGTTTAAGTTCATGACAGGTTCATGATTTTTTTGGTAAGAGAAATTTGATTCCTATGCAAGAATTTCTATAAATAATTGTGTGTGATTACCACCAAAGTGAGATCATTCATTTTAATTTATAAAAGTATCTTTGTAGTTTGAGGAATGATTTTAAATCATTACTATGATTGTCTTCCCAAAGGTGGACAATTGTATGTAGAGATTGTGGTTGATTAAGGATATATTTATTGGAGATGCTTGAGTCCAAGAGATTTATTTACCCAAAGAAGATAAATTTCTAAACTCAATGTATGCTCACCGAGTAGCTTATTCTTGAAATCTGTAGATGAAGTTGTTTGAGGTGTTTTGGTTTAGAGAATTTATCTATCCAAAGGAGATATATTTTTGAACCCAATGTATGCTCATTGAGTAACTCATCTGAGGTTCTGACCTTGATTGTAACTTAGGTTTTGTGCATTCCACCCAAAGGGGATTGTGTGATAATGTTGGCCTCTTCGCGATAGCTTATGCTCATTAAAGCTATATCTTGCCTTTATTAGTTGTTCTTATGCATTTCTATTTTGTCTCAACAGTGACCTTCTCAATGAACAATTATTCTGCTTCTATTGAGATCCCGAATGGGTCTAATTTTAAGAAATGGAAGAAAGGCCTACAATTTTCATTAGGGATTGTTGACCTTGACATGACATTGCATGAAACCAAACTTGTGATCAATGATCAAAGTGCACCTGAAAAGAAAGAAAAATTAGCTAAGTGAGAGAGGAGTGACCGACTTAGCTTGTGTGTTATGAAGATGACAATTTATGAACATCTGATAAGTGGATTGCTTTTAAGAGAGGTTTTAGGTATCTGATAATGCTAAATTAGGATGTCTAATGAAACAACTTACGGACATGAAATATGATAACAATGGAGGTGTCAAGAAGTTCATTCTTAAGATGGTTCATGTCCAAACCAAACTAAAATCCCATGACATTGACCTGAATGAGAATTTTATTATGTCTCGTGCCTTAAACTGCTTACCTGCTGAGTTCACTCAAATCAAAATTTCCTATAATACATTTGGTGATAAGTGGACTATCAATAACCTCATTACGAAGTGTGTAGCTGAAGAAGAGAAACTCAAGAAGGAAAGAAGTGATCTAGTCCTCTTAACTTTACATGTTAAACCCCATTCTGATAAGAACTCTTGGAAAAATAAGAAAAATACTCATAGTGCTTCTCATAGATATCCTGATAGGAAAACTGGTAATGCTCAACACCATAATATAGGAGGTCCCAAACCTGTTGCTTTTAAGAAGTCCTTTTGGTGCTTTTGGTATAAGGAAAAAGGGCATAAGAAAACTGATTGTCATGCTTTTAAAGCTTAGTTAGACAACAAGAACAAATCTGGAAGGGTTCAGAAACCAACCAAGACCAAAACTTGAGGGAAAGAAAACTCAGGGTAGGAAATGATCTTGAAGTTATTGTTGAGCTAGTGAGAGATGTTAGTTTAGTTTTAAGAGGAATTTGATTTCAGTATCTTGTTTGGATAAGTTTGGATTTCAATTTACCATTTATGATGGCAAAATAAATTTGATGTTGAATTCTCAAGTTGTTGGTAATTGTATCTTTTTAGATGGTTTATATAAGTTATCTTTGGATTGTGATATGATTTCCTCATCCTTTAATGTTGAAAGCTCCATTGCTAAAAGGTCT